TAATACCGTTAACATCAATAGCCACATTAATAGTAATAACAATAAGAACAGCAATAGAGAACGCAAAAAAATAATCACAACAACCCACAACAATAACAGCGCAAAACAGGAACACCATACAATCAGAGAAATACGATGGCGTGAGGATGTGGGGTTGCGTCAAATATGTACGTTGGTTAGAGATTGCTATTCCTAGGAGTCCAGGTGAATAAAGCATTAAGAACAAACATTTATTTAAGGCGTGTACTCATTCAGGTAGTCTTTACTATAAATGCACATAGTCTACATTGTTTAGTAGCTAGAGTGCTGTCGAGGTGGTATCAGTGCGTGTGAGTAGCGTTTGCCGCATGCACTCATAAGCGCACTGCAGCGGTATGCTGCACGCATTCTATTGGCTAAGAGCAGTTCTTTTATACGTAACATCATATTGATGTTATAATAATAAGTTAAAATAATGATTTTATATTTCGCTTACGTTACGTTACGTTAAGACTTCGACGTTAAAAGGTTATTTCTGTGAAAGACACTGGGAGATCGAAGGTTAGGTTTATGTAAGCATCTGGATTTAGCCGATACGTACATTCCTAAATACATAAGGAATTTGCATGGAGTACCTGGGAGCCTTTGGAAGCAAGTAGATATTACTTCTACGGGTTCAGTTTTAACAGAAAAATGCACTGACCAATTTCGTACTTCTGCGATCTTATTTCACTTGGAATTCCGCTGTTTTGGCTATAAATTTTGTTTGTTTGTTTATTTTTTAATTCGATGTTCCGATCATCTGTATCCACTTAGAAAAATCGGAGATTTGCGGAGGACGCGAAACACACAGGATGCGGCGCCCGCCAAATGAGCCTGACGCACCATCGAAAAGGCTATAGACATCCCAAAAATATACCTATTACAAAAAACGCCTCTGCTTCTTCAACTGCGTTGATGTCTTTCCCACGTCCCTCTATTGCTATTGGAAAACTCTACCAGAAGCTATAAAATCGTTAGCCTGTACTCTTTTTTGTTTTGGCCGTTATCGTATGCTAGTTGCGTGTTTCTACACAAATGAACGCGAAAACCCTTTAGCTCTCTGCGATGAATCGAATTCAGCGGTATTTTTGGCCAAAAAAAAAAACTAAACAATAAGTGAAAACCGCCAGATGACATTCACGTACTGTGTATTTACTAGGTATAAAACCCGTCTGCAGCAAGACTGCCCCCAAAGACAAGTAATTAAATAGCTTAAGACCAGGTTAGTCTCTTTCTTGAGCCTGAAGTTACTCTTCGGTCAATATCTCAGTAGCGTACGTAGAGTTGGCCGATGTCTGATCTAAGTCGAATGACAACGCCCTCTATTCTCCAACACATCGACGCAGAAGTACTGGGACGCATCGGTAACTGTGGAGCGCTAAAGCATCCTAATATAAACCGAGTTACGAGTGTTATGGTCAAGAGGAAAACGACCAAATAGAATGTAATACGTATAACTTCCGTTCGAGCAGGCTTTTCACGCGATCAATAATATTTAGCACGCATCTGAGCGTGTTTCACTTTGTACACATTTGTAGTGGCGCAACTAGTCTGAGATATGACCGCACCGAAAGGGTCCAATTTTATTTTTTTAGCAGAAAAGCTCACCATAGTAGATTAGAGAGTAGTGTCTTCCGATTATCAGGAAAGAAGCCACAGTGTGCGAATGCTAGCGCTTGTTTAAAGATTTGTTGCTTTATAACTTACAATTGCTCACTTGGTTTTACCGCCGGCACGAAGAGAATCTAGCACGATTCGAACGCGACCGGTAACATGGATAACCGTGCGACTGGAGAATAGTACAACTTATACGTAGAATATATGTTTGCGTTTGTATTAAATGATGTCGATTAATTTACAAGGTGACCATTTTGTTAAATGCTCACCGCATGGTAGAAACAGTCGAACACATCTATAAAGTAGACTTGGTCTTTTTCTCCATAGTCACTTAACACATCAGTGTTAAATACTCGTTTAACTGCTCCGTAATCGCTTTCAATGAAATTTCCTGAGAAGTATAATCGTCAAATGAAGTGCTAAAGCCTTTACTTGATTAATGGTCCCACTCCAGTAAAGGTAACGATCTGTCTAGGCAGGTTTACGTGATCTATGAAGTCATTAATACCATAGGATATTTGCTTAAGCAACTCATTCCAGCTGAGTAAACATCTCAGTGAGGTTTCTGTAAGTCTCACCTCAGAGCTTAACCAACATCTGATAACAAAAAGAATTTTTAAAATTTAGCGGATTTAGTATATTTATAGCCACAACAAAAAAGGTGAAAAATCATAAGTTCATCTTTACAACTATAAGTAGATGTCTCATTTGTCTTTGTAAACAGCAACGGATATGATTTCAATAGGTGCGACTCAAAAACTGAAATAGCTCTTGGCCATAAATGGCATTGTTATCGAAGCGCCATCGCCAGACTCAGTTACGCCTCCTATTATTATTCTACAACTGAACAGATGAAAATGTCCCAGCCGTCCAAAAACATGCTTCGTGAAGTCTGTTTACTTTAGTGAGAGAAACAGAGATACGAAATGTACTTCAAATAAGCATTTTACATAGATTACTATTGGAGAATTGCTGGCGCTGTGTTGTCACCTCATTTCAATGGCCATGCAAATGTTGAGTATATTTTTTCTCCATTTATCTCTCTAATAGGACTCTAAATAATTGTACCACTTATAAAGTTATTTGCTTGTACTTTAAAGTGTTCGTTTGCATAGTGAAATTCAAACATTTCAAATGAGTAGTAAATTATTCCGCAATTACAATTAGGCGGGTATTGTCAAGACCTAATATTAACGACCTACATCTTTTGGCCGTTAGGTGTTTCGAAGCTTGCCAATTTAGCTTCATTGGGAGCTAAATTTACGATTAGCACATTCTGAATTTCCATTGCCATTTTCAGTAGAATGAACCAAATTAAGTCCTCATACGAGTTTGAACTTTGTACCAATATAATTTCGAAACCGACAAAAAAAGAAGAGGACGTCACCCATTAACGGACAGTCAGTCTAGTTACTGGTATCATAAAAATGCTTCCGAAGCGAATGTTGAATTTATAAAAATCCTTTCTAAGATAGGAATATTTTGTTACATTTACCTTTCAGTTCTTTCAGCTACATTTTACGTCTTAGAGGGGATTGCTTTACCTTGAATTTTTATGGCAACTTTTAAAAGAGTAGACACAAGGCATCTTTTGAGCTCAAAAGAAGCAGACTTTTGCTACTCAATTGCCTCTAGTGTGGCCCCGTTTCAGAAGGGGCTATTTTAACTCAAAAAAGATGCCAGGGGAGGCACTCAGCGGTATAAATAATTATTACGACCGGCACATCACTAACCCAACATTCATGCCGGCTAGCAGCGTCTTGGCGGCGTGTTTAGATTAGATAATTAGCGTTATAATTTGGGAACACAGATTTCAAACTATTTCGACGGGCTGCCATGCCGGTTTGCTAATGCTATGGTTTCCGGGTTCTGTCGTTTCTCATCTATACCAACGGCTCCCCATGTCTTGACTGGATATTCACTGCCAGCCGATTTTCGTTAGGTTTTTGAATTGCAACTACTTATTTTGAGCCTTGTAGATACTGACATAGTTCGTCCAACACAACTGTCGACCGGCTGTTAACATAGCCTGTATCCTTACTCAGGTTTGCTTCTAGATTCGTTCTATCACTACTATGAGCGCGTAACCGACTAGGGTCTTTTGTGATATATGTGTGATTCTAGACAGGTCTTCCGAGAGAACTTAATTTGTTACGTTCTCTCGGAAGACCTGTCCTAAATTAGTTGTCAGACTTCCGAGATGCCACACGTTTAAGGCGCTAGGTTTCTGTGTCCTTCTGTAAACGCTTACAAAACATACAATGGGCAGATATCGGCCATTTCTTTGAAATATAGACCGACATCGTTTACCATACAAACTGATCCCAGCATGCGGGTCTGATAAGTCAGAAAAAATAGTTGCGATTGAAGAGTCACAAGCGAATGCTTTCAAAATCCTTCAAAGTGGTTTCCTTAGAGTTCTATAAAACATGAAAAGAGCAATAGTCAGGACTGAAACAAGGCACTATTTATGTTAATCGTTATGATATCTAATTTAAAAAAAGAGGCTAAATCGACTCACATTATATAATAGCCTTAATCAACAACAATTACTTGATAACTAAAAAACTAGGTCCATACGTCTGAAAGAAATCGTTATAGCCTCTTAAACGAACTTGGTCTATGACTACCGGAAAATGGTTCAATGATTTATGCAATAAACCTTATATTGGGACAAAATCGAAAATGGGTAGATTACACAACGTGGTTTTAAGGAATTACCAAGCACCTATTATTTTAGTTTGATCAAAATTTCACTGTGTGAGAGAACCCTAAGGCTTATTTTTTTTTGTCTAAAATCGCTATTGCCAATTCAAACTAGAACTGCTCTACACAGCTTCGAACAAATGCGTCCGTACTGCGAGCAATAAAAGTCTATAAAGACAAGATATCGTCCGGGAAGTTTCCTACCGGCGGTTTCTGTTAAGCGTACGATTTAATCAAAAAAAATAACTGGCTGTTACTCTGTTTAGTAGAATACTACAAAGGTAGCGGGGGGAACCGATACACCGTTCCTACTGACATTAGGTATTAATTAAAGTTTAAAATGCATTGACTTTTTCTTTTGCTTGAGAGAGCAGTGCGCTTCGTGTGATGCTGAAATCCAGGTCGACCACATTAATGTAAAGCCTATCACAAAATTATTATAATATATGTTCAGAGCCTGGAGGTCGTTTGAAAGTGGATTTAGAACTTGCACACGCTTCAAGAATTCAAAGTTACTCAACTATATACCCACCGATCCTCCTTTTGATATGAATTATCTGCTATCTTTTGTTGCACTGCGCATTTTGTTTGTACACCATTAAACAAGACTCGATAAATGCTGAACGCCTTACTTAACAAAAACACTGCACCACGCATATTGTTTCCTTCAGTGATTTTTAATCTTTATTGAGCAAAGTGAATGACAGTATAAAATACACTGTCACAAAATAGACCTATTTTGTATCTTTTTTGCAGTTTGTTCAACATGTTTTATACGCATATAAGAAATTTGCGCTATATATACGTATATATAGTGCTAAAATTGTGTTTCGTGCCTCCAAGCGGTAGGCGACACGTTTTTGCTATAATCTCTTTATTTAGATGAGTGAACAGGCACACCGTAGACCTACAGAGATAATGTCGACTACTTGGTTACATGTGCATGGAATAAGATATTCGTGAGAAGCGTATTCCCACATGGCATGTCGGGTGGCTTTCGTGAATCAAGTTGATATTGATGCGAAACTGCCGCAGAAATCAACAAATGATAAAAATAGATGGGAAGGTCAATCGAAACTTGTTGTTACTATCTAATTGATCCCGGTTATAATATGATTGCACAAAGTTATAGCGAAAGTGTGTGAAATGTGTACAGAGACTAAAACAGTGTATCTATACGATTAACCGTAAAAACAATGATAATAACACCTAGATAGTGTCATGGCGTTGTCCGCCCTATCCACGGCCTGTCTAATGGCCACTGGCCTCACGCAACTATATGGCGTCGAACCGATCACTGGAGATGAGCGCAGTCCAGAATCTGAAATTGAACACTCATGTAACCAAGTATTATCGCGGTGTATAAACTAAGAATTTATCAAATTAAAAAAAGTTTATTAATGAAAATAACCTCTAAAAGGAAAAGACCATTTGCATACGATTTTTATTTAACTTAGGACAAGCGATTCCCACTTGAGGTCACCCCAGTAACTCAACACCTATAAAAACGTTCACTCGTTGAGACGTCTGTTTTCATATATGTGATTAATAGGCCTTTTCTCGATCGCATAAATCCGAAAAGGTTCCCTTTATTTAAAACAACTTATGTAAGGGGCATAACATTTTTTTTGTTATGAGCTATGGTTAACAATTATGGGAATGTCTGATGGCTTGAATAAAGAACAGTGATTGCCACCCCACTTTTCTAAATAGTGCCTAGTCTGTTTGCACTCTTACAGCTAATGAACGCGGCAGATACTCGCAGATGGTTACAGTTTTCTTCGCCCACGTTACATTTTTCCGAACGATTATATACAAAGAAGCTGAATTGCAACAAACCTTTTCAGTGGCTTTCAACAAAAGTTCTTAGTTCGCCCATAGTATCAATCGTTTGTTTTGATTGCCTCATCAATAGCAGCAGATCACGTTCAAACACGCTCAGGTACATTATGACCTCCTCGATAAGATCAGTCTCATACTAATTTCCATAAGATTATAATGCGACGGATCGTATTAACATTTGAAATTAAACACGAAACAGGGTACCATTCGCAATCTTAACAGTAGCATTTTAGTATATTACAATGCATTGCCAGGTGAATCAAAAAGGTACAGTATAGCTCAAAGCAGAAAAACGACCGGATCTTAGAAAAGTATTGAAACTCTTCGATAATGCCTATATTTGCTCGCTCAGGCTAATTAGCAAAGATGTAAGTGGACACCTGCCACACGTTCTAACGGAGCACAGTGTTATCATGCTTGGTCACCACCAGGCCACGAGCAAACAAGCGATTTTGTGTTTTCGTTCTGTTCGATTCTGTTTGCTTCTCTGGAAGAGTATCACCTCGACTTCTTTCGAAATCCTTAATTTAGTTTGATGGATAGAAAAATGCCATGCGAAAACGATGAACACGTTTTTTTTTTCTACTCAATCTAAGACGACACTCTGTAGTACGAAGGTATCATTTGACGATGGCTCGGTAATTTCGTTACCTTAAAAGGATCAGAAACCCCAAGGACGTCGCATTTCGAGCGGAAATACACCAGTTGATAAGTACCGGGAAGAACGACCATCTGATCGGAGAATGTCTGCCGGTACACATGGCGCGGTGTTGGCAGGATCGGGTTCTACGAAATTTCAACAGCAACAAAGAGTTAATTTAAGCCAGGATTGCTATTCATAATAATGCACGTGCTTTACGGGGTTTGATGCACGTAAAATGCTTCCGGCAGCAAATTCAGAAAAATTATAATTATCTTCTGTTGCTTCAGGATGAATAGTATCTGAACAGGAACAGGTTGCATTCTTGAAGGAAAGAACTACCAGTTGGCGATTCTGTATTTAAGAGATCATAACATACATAGGGGTAGCCGGAACTCTTCTACGTTCTGCTAAAGGCGTATGCTAAACTAGTTTAAATACACACATTATATAAGAGAAGTATAAATAACCCGTTACCTCGTCATCGGGGAATGAAATCGTGTCCATAGGTCGCGTATCTACCCAAATGTAGGCCAAATACTTATCCAGGGTAGTAAAGTTTTCCTGCATCAGCCCTATCCAGTCCAAGTTCTGCGGTTGTGCATTGGTTGGAGTACAGAACCTGTACGCATATAAAACAGGTGCACAAGAAAAACGATAAATAGGGATTGACTTAGGAATAAATTTTCAAGCTTTCTTTTTTGTATGTTCGCTTGTTCCCTCATTTATTATAGTAGCCGCAATGCATAACGGTGGGCAGAAAATTAATAAGCCCTTTCTCAGGCATAAAATACGATTAGTTTTCGACCCTATATTTTTTACGATATAGAACAGTCTATCGACTATTCATTCCTCAGAACTTTTTTTTTAATACAACGCTATCTTACGTTGTACCTACAAAGAAAAACCGTACGAAACAAAGGAGCACATTATATAGCATATTATTATTACTATCTTCATTTTATTATAATCTGATATAAACTTTATTTAAATGTCTCTGTCAAAAGCGCTTTAGGCCCATCAGGCTGTATAAATACTGATATAACATAGCAATCTTATTTTCTATTTCTTTCTAGAAATTACAATACGAAATCGTAGTTCTTACCACAGTTCAAAGCCTCGACTGATGCTCCAGTCACTAGTGTTAAAAAAATACACACGATCAAACACAGTGTCGTTACTGAAGACCTTCACAGTGAATAGTGCTGAAACGGGCTTATGGTCGCTCTGCACATAGTCTTCATGAGAGCGATATTCATGGGCAGTAATATCGAATTTATTTCCTTGATACGTATCTTCATTACATCGGTAGAGGATGCGATCCGTCCAAGCAGGCCTGCGAGTTCTGAAGCATTGTCGAAGCAACGCAATATAACAAAACACAAAAATAAATTATACTCTTAACTGTAAAGAGGACCCAAAGGTTCGCGCATTTCCAAATCGCAGGCAAACAGATGGCTCGCAATGACGAAGATAATCCAGCTCACTCAACTGTGACTATTTTTCATTTTTTAGAACACACATCTGACGCTCCAGTCTAATACATACTTAAGCCTAAAGTCCGTCGTTCCAGTTTGGTACTTAAAGGTAGGTTTAAACGAAATTTTGCCTTCAGTCATCGTTTCAAACGCGTCCTCATCGCGTTGTGCCCGGTGAAGCTGAAATGACGAAAAATACCACACTGTTTTCGTCTGACACGTACCTTTTTTTTGGGTCATACTAACCATCGTACATGAAGAATACAAAAAAGTACAGTATATTGCAAATGTTTGCATATGACAGTCAATTGCCGACAGATACCAAATGAACAGATAGAGCGAGGCTAATATCGATACAGTTAGAAATACGGCGAGCGCCTTGAATGGGGACTACAAACGCTGTAATTTTCATTCAATGTTAAACGTTCATTAAACGTTGTAGGTTTTCATTCACCATACCTGATCATATTGGAGCATCTCCATTACAGCTTCATCTTTAATAGCTTTTCGGAGATCGTCGATAGTAATCCTTTCGTCAAGACGGAAATTAAGGTCTCCAAACCAGAACACGTAGTCATGGTCCAGAATGTAGCATCCATTGGGTCCACACCAGGCAGTCGTTGCGATTGCAGCATAGTCCTATACAGATTGTGGTGTTAAGATGTTACATATAGAAAATTCGTGTTAATATTGTTCTTGCTATCTTTAATATTTCAAAATCATGTAGTAACTACATGTTCAGCGAAAGTAAGTACACAATTAAAAAGAAGTAACTATATAAAAATAGTCCGTTACAGTACTAACTTGCGCACGCGGGAAACTACAGGTGTATGTTAAAAGGTGAATTTTTAAAGATATGAAATTTCCATAATACTTGTACTTTCCCTAGAGCGGGCTATTGTTAGCTATTTTATCAACAGCGCCGCGTCATCCTATAAAACGGAACTTGTAGTAAAAAAGCACGAGAGAATGTATGCTAGTATAAATCAACTTACACCGAGCCTTCGCTTGTACCCATGATCATGGGCGGCCAAATGTGAGTTCGTAAAACTCATTGACGCACCGTACGCGCGAAGGGAAACAATTGACGCGCCCTTATTCCCCCAAGAGCCCAGCACCCCAGTGCGCACACAAGTAGAATATATATTTCTGATATGGTGCAGATGCATTCGCCGCACGAATATCGCTAATACAAGTCCCTGAAATAAACAAATATGTTAATTTTGAGAGGAAGATTATCCAAACGGTCTTACGCTTTGTTGGTTATTAATCGTCTTTTTACAACAAACAAAAACTTCAAGCCGATTCAAGCTAAATTCGCAAAGCTGACGTCATCGATTTCTTCGCTTTTTCCTATAGTAATAGGCGCTGTGGCCGCCTTTTTTACTAAAGTGTCCAAGCTCAATTTTGACTTGAAGCTAAGTCGGCTGATAACAAAATATTTGCTGCCTTAACTTTAACGAATCCTCATTATGTCTACGGAATATGTATTTTCAACAAAAATACACTAAAAGCTCCGCAAAATAATAAATAAGTATGGATAATTTGTATGGAAAATTGAGACGCTGAAGCACTTCGTCAAAATATGGCTAAATAACTCTAGATTTTTTTTCCACGCCTAGGAGTTATTACTAGGTTTGCATTTCTGAGTGGGTTTTACGACAAGATAGGCGAAGATAAATCGCTTTCTGTATCTAGACTTTAATCCAGATGAGCTATCGTACCACCTTGATTGTTTTTCCTGTGATATAGCAAAATTGTACACTTTAAACTGTGTTAGTTCTTTTGAATATTTCTTATTGTGTACAATGTAATAAAGCATTATTTATGATTATTTTCGTATCCTAATGTATAAGACAGATATATTTGACAGAATGAAGAAAGTTATTAGAAACTAACCTGAAGTCTATAGCTAATTAATTTAACATAATCAAGCTCCGCTAATATTTGTCGTAGCGGAGTGATCCACTCCTGTTCAAGGAGCATTTCGCTGAGCACATTCCGGGGCCTCATGCTCACCTCCTGGTATCTGTTAATAACCAAGTGAATCATTTAATAATATTAACATTTCCCATTTACAATATAGAAGGGGAGACTTTTTAAGCATTTACTAGATTAATTTTGTGTACTTAATTTTTCTATGTTGGAGATTTCCAAAGATGTTTTCATTTACCCTTAATAATAGATTAAGTAGTCCATTGGAGCTCTGAGCGAAGATATGTTAACTACTTCTCGATCACGTTACCTTTTTTTAATCAATTTGTTCCTACTGAAGCACAAAAATATCAAATGCAATAAGCTTGACTTACCCAACAGCGTATAAGTCAGGTAGGCTATTTTTGTCAAAGGGTTTCCGTACTCCAAGGAGGTTCCGAAGATTTTCTGTTGGTGATGTTCCCGCAACGTTCCAGGTGATCACTCGGATACTGGACAAAGATTAAATAAATTTATTATGATAATATCCTATAGGCCTGTACACATTTGCGTACACTGGGCTACACGTATCCTATTTATAACATATAACTGGGCGGCAAATACAAAAAGACTGCGCGATCTAAATGGCTCGAATCTTACCTTTGGAGCTGTGTAAACATTGTATAAAGCAAAGAACCTGTAAAATCACTATTGACTTGCTCCTGCAACCAGGAATAAATAAACCGTTTACTGGAAGATCACATCTAAAGCATTTGCTTTACCTGAAGTTCCGTAATTTTGGGTCAGTCATGATCGCCGGTCACTGAAATCGTTAAGCGACAAAACAAGACTTTAGTTACAACTGCGTTAAATCCTTAGCGGCAATATACCGCTAATAGAAAATTAGCCGCAATGTAACTAAGTTAGATGGACTTTGTAAGATTGCATTAACTTAATCCTTTCTAGATACATAGATTATTGAGAGCAGTGGGTTTCCTAGTTGGCAGATGAGCGCCACCTCACAATCATAAACGCGCTAGACGAGCACACACGGAATAATCACAAAAATCTGTAAGAATACCCGGTTGACAGCTTAATCAAGTCTTATCTTTGCTTTCGAGATAAAACCTGTTTCATAGCAGTCGCTTGTTGGGCTTACTGGTAGTAGGTCGGCATGTTACCTTGTCTCTTGTAATACCATATAGCAGCGGGCCAACCACACAATAAGCAAAACAAGGTCCATGCCGCATAAAATCAGGCGAGATGTGCAAATGAATAGAGGCATTAAATCGAACAACTGCTCTAAAAATTTGCCATTCGACTATAATTAGACAGCAGATTGGCCGCTGTAAATTCCATAATATCCAAGAATAGAACTTTAGGTTAACGTGCGTTTTTATAAAAGAAGTCCAGAGTCAGCGTAGGCTTATTTGTAATGGACAGCGGGATTCGAAGGAAAAGCACTGTAATCAAAATAGAAATTTTGTATATAGAAACTCATCTTACAATTGATCTATCCAGAAGTTGAAAAAATCCAGAGCGTCACTGTTGATATAAATTATTTCTGTTTAACTTTGTTTACAGCAATAAGCGTGAGTTGATGCTGAAGGAAAACTTATGATTCAGAGTTTTATTAACAAACAATTTTTTTTGTATGTTAATTCTGCAACGATGAAAAATATAATAGCAGATCTTTTATAAGTTTCATTATGAAAATGCTTATTCTCCAGGGTAGGCAGGGTTCGACGCCACGCGCCACACAAGTGCGCTAGTGAACTAGTGAATGATGCCGTGGAAAATCGTCTGCTTTAGCCGAAAACTGTTTTAGTTCAAATTGCAACGATCCAGCCACTTCCAAGGAGAAAAACATACGTAGAGAAACTAGAGTGAGCATCGTTATGGCATCGCACCCCACAACAGTTAGGACTCAAAGACGTTAGACAACAGTGACGTAACCATAACAGTGGCGGCTGCATTAAATATCTCGCTGATTATGATTACTGTTAGAAGATGAAACGGCAACATTTTCGGTTTAAGTAATAAGACCGAACAAAGAAATCTATATATATATATGTTTTTGTATAAAGATTTTGGTCAGCAGTGATTTTCTGGAAGATTTACTTAGGACACTTAGTGTCACCAAACAAGAGCAAAGTCGAACAGGTAGAAAGTCGAACACGCTTGTTACTGCATCGTTAGTCCCCATATCGTTTTATATTATCCATGAAAACCAATAACTAAATAAATACGATTTGATTGGTAGCAACATCGACTCTATATGATTATAAATTCTATTCCTGGAATTGAAGTCCACTTCATTCTTCAAATTACTATAGAGCTCAACGCTATATGTATATAAAACACAGATTGTTTTTGAGTTAGGAAATTTATATAGGACTGAGAAAGACTGCTATGCGCAAGCAAAGCTATCTCTCTTAATAAACTTATTGATCAATACATAAAAGTGGGAGGAAGGTCGTTATATATAGATCTTATATATAGGACGCCGTTTCTAATAAATTTAGCTTAAGAAATTAGATAGAAAGAGTAGTCACGCAAAACTAAATAGATCACCTAGATAGATGGTCAGGATAAACGCAGTGCTCATAAGATTCAGGCAGTTTTGCATCATCAAACGAACAGCTGGACTGTCATTTCAGCTGACCACTTTATTGCATCTTCTGGCACTCTGTAAGTACAGCCACTTCTTCTAATCAAAGTAATCGACCATTCAATAGAGCGGTTTCCGTAATCCACTGGTGAGGTGCCTTCCATGCATCATTTATTCGACAACATATATGACAAAGACATGAATGGGGTGACGGAGTGAAAGACTTACTGGATTTAACAGTTTTTATCTTAAGAACAACTTCAGTAGTAAGGGAGACACTGGCCTAGTAGCAATCTCCACCAAATCACTTCACACTCTCTGTATACTTACTTAATGTTTTGTTATTGTGACAGGGCTGACGTACGAGCGCGAAGACGATCATCGAACAAACACAATGCCTTTACCTTTGCAAGAACATTATTTAGTTTCAATGACAGGAAAGTCCGGCTTTCGCAACTCTGAATTTTCCTCACTCCGTCGATTATGAAAAATTAACGGAAACTGGATTGTGCAGACGGAAGGTGTGTAACAGCCAGCTAGTCGTTCCGTCTGGGGTTACCTTTGAAATGTAGTTTGCAGGAACGGTATTTGTGTATGGAATGGGAGAGTTGTGCATTAATCGACTGGGTAGAAGTTAGTTGCACCTAACAATAATTCAACGTACATTGAATAAAAACTTAAAGGGTGGGAGGGGGACACATCATGAACTAACGGTGAACGATTGCATTCCGCAGTAAAAAGTGTTTAAAAGAGCTGTAAAGGGCTTTCAATTGATCAATAAACTTTCATTTCCACAATTGTAAGTTGATCTAAGAGCAGTTCTATCACGTTTCTATAACCTGTTGCTTTTGTTCAGGGTCTGCTGTGACTTGGAAAGTTCGAACAGTTTCTTAAAGCCCATCTTATCATAAGTAACATAGTGCATATATGGTCCATTTGTGTAAGTCAATCTGGTCTATGCGAGAATATCATAAATTACAGTGGGCAACATATGTGTTACAGATTTGACGGACAGCCATCTAACGAAGCAGACACAGGCAGTTGTCCTTACTTACAATTAGGTAGAATCCGTTCATTTTCATCAGGATATTTTATTAGTAGACTTTCCTATATTTACATTTATTATTCATTCACAACGGGAAGCTGTGAGGCACTTCGAGCTTGAAGTCGGCCAAAAAAAGAATTTGTTGCACTTGCTTTTCGAATCAACGTAGAACATTTCTATTAGTAGTAATTATGTTATTAAAAGTATTGTTTACTGTTCATTTGTTTATACTACTATGCTACCTTGTAAGTAAATTGCGATAACCAAGGCCCTCATTAAGAAATAAGTTATGAAATACTTAGCTGCAATTACCATTCGAAGTTTCGTAAATCCTCTTCATAACACTTCAGAACAACAATAAATATCAGTATAATAATCAAATCATTGCAACGTTGCTACATGTACAATATTAAATGTCGCACAACAGATGACTTTGCCAGGGAATCAAAAAAAAATGGCGCTCTTCCATCATATCTTTTGTATAGTTTTTTTTTCTAGTTCGTTTGCTATATGGGAAATTATCAGCTAAAAAGATACATGAAGAAAAGTATAAAGCCAGTCTTTTTTCTAACAAACCCAGCTTTTAGAACAGCATATCGTGTACGATTATACACTTAGGGATTACTATACATCAACATGCGTAGAAATCCAGAAGGAAGAATATATGCAATTGTGTTCATTACAATTGCCACTTTTTAATATATTCTACTTCCATTACTTTTATGGGTTTATTTCCATTAAATTCTTTATATTACTGTGGTTTATATACCAACAGATTCACGCATAGCTAGTCAAAAGGCAAGTATAGCCAAGCCAGTTTTTATATGCAAACGTGTCCCGGAGCTAATCTACTTTATGGGTAATGTTCTGCCAAGGATGGCAAATCCATAAGTATCTATCGAGGTATTTATAGTACGGAGGGATCTTTGTGTTTGTCCATAGAGTTGTGTAATCAATTCTTTTGATAAACAAGCGTTTCTGAATTACCCATACCTGCAAGCCTACGATTTGCTGGTGCTTACAACCCCAAAACAGCGGCCTACCCCGCGTTTTCATTCCTATCCTCCCTTGGTGACTACTGAATCCTACGTTCTTCGTGAACCAGTGACCGGGAATTTCCCCCTCAGCTCATCACGGATTACGCCCCAGCCCGATAGCTCGCTCATCCCAATACGGGGGCTTCGCCAAACCTCTATCATTCAATGTGAGAAGTACTTTACGATAGGATGCAACGGCTACTGAAAGCCAAGGTTTTCGTGAACTTTTTACTAGAGGACATGCCGATATTATTGCCCCTTTTCTAATGCTGTTTTGGAAGGTACACCAGTTCATTTTTAACCCGCTCATTGAGACGCTCATGAATATGCGAAGTAGTCAGTCATTTATGAGGATCCTGAATTTACGGAAGTTTACGATTCTCCATTGCCTTCTTGCGAGACCGATCAAATTTGTCGGGTAAAGTTTTATGGCACCCGTTTATATAACACTACGGAAAAGCTAAAATTTTTATCGACGAGCATAGATTTTAATTTGAATTTCGTGGTAGAGAATTACGCCAGAGAAAAAATATCATCTGATAGTAAGCTATTAAAACCTTACAGATACATAATTGACTAGTTGATATGATATTGCTGCGCTATTGATGTTGTCGGAGCTGAGACCACTACACAGCGCCAAAAAGACACTCCGATAACGAATTATTAATGCGTCAGTTGATAGCGATTCCCAGTTTAGCAAGATATGCTGATGGTTCCAAATCGAGTTTTTTTCGTTGCTAAAAAGACAATTACTTTCAATCATAGTATATTAACGCCGCTTGTGTGATAAATGTTGAGCCAATATGCATATAGTGTCGTTTGCCCACAAAAGTCAACTCTGTTTATCGTGCATTTAAGGATGACAAACATTATAATTAAGTTGAAGATGTGACCACCTATCTAATAACAAAGGCCAGGCAACGTGGGGGCAACATTCAACTCCATGCGGCCAGCTGGACCAGTCTCACTGAGTATCACAACGTTGCGTTATTGCTGTTCCGCCGCTGCACTCTCTATACAGACAGCAAAGGTAAAAAAAACTACATATCCCTCACTCCCTGCAGCACTGACCACCATTTTTGTGGGGTCCAGTTGTAGTCTTCTTGGTAGTCATATTAGCAACTAAATAATAGGTTGAGAGCTTACGTTGATCGTGCGCCATTGGAGCCGTATACCCGAACACAATGTGCGAACGTCCGCAAAGTGATCAGGCTCCAGTCTTCCTCATGGCGCGCACTGCGATTGACAAACACAACTGATCTTTACTACTTCCAAAGGAGAAGTTCCATCTAGCAGACTGTGCGACTGGTCAATGATATCGAGTACATAATATCCATTGGTTAGCTTAGCTGTTTAGCCAAAGTTATTGCGGAACCAAATCATGCTGAAGATCTGTTCGTTGCAGGATGAGAAGGCCATCTGTAAAACGAAATGAGTCACTCGTTATATACGCCATTTGTACATCGGCGACGGTGAGACAAAAAAGTAAAATGATAGTTTCTGCTCGTTGTCCGCCGATGATTTAATTTTCTCGCTGAAACCTAATGATGTTCTCAAACTATTTAAATTCTTAATAACGTAATACCATGCGTACAGTATGTAGTTGTGTTTGTCTAGCGTGAATATCGTCGCACTTCCGGTCCACGGAATCTTCTCACGGATATAACCTCACTGCATCGAGGGCTATACAATTTTAGCTAGCAGGGAGTATTGGCGCCTAAACGTTTCAGCCCAATGCAAACAAACCGTTGCGTATATTGTTGATTAAACAGCTGCGACACAATGACAGATGTTAGATAATTGTACGCTTCAATTTGTCGTTCGTCGTTGCAATTGGACTAGATAAAGCGGCTAAAAAAAAAGCAGCAATACCGAGATTTTTCAATATTACAAATTATGTAGCATTCATATAACTTTCTATGGAATTTAGAATAGCTAAGTGCAGGAACGACGGGTTATCTTCCGTTAATGGAACTAGAGTTGTCTTCCGTTTCGTTGCTTAATGTTTGCGTTGTTTGCGTCGTGGCCGCAATAGCACCTGTATTCCTGGGCTAACCATTCGAATTCGTACACAAATGCAAGAAAAAAACGCCTATGTGCTTACCTCTAGACACATAAAAAATATTATTAAATCAGTGCCTGCATTTAATCTAACTCAGTGCAAACTGTGGAATACATTGGCGCATAACGCCATTTTACTTACAAGACTGATTTTCGTTTGAGTAGTTGATTATTCGGCCGTTTGGATGATGCTACAGCTGGTAAAGAAATACTTGTAAAAAGAGATCGCAACAAACTTGTAGGCCGTGATTATAATTTTAACATTTAACAATTTTATAACACAGAATTTAATGACATAAATTTAAGTGGTAGCTAATTTTGTAATTCTCACACAAATCACACATTTACAGATTCACTGCTTTGGGGCCACCTTACCATTCCTGTATTTCCTCTTCTTTGTTGATTTACTTTCAGGTTATGATATGATTTTTGCGGTCAACTAGAACGCAAAAAGCCAAACAAATCACATAACTAAACGGCAAATTGTCCACAAACAGGGAAAATAAACTCCTCTAAATTTGTCCATTCCCAGCGATGTCCTGCTGTTGAAAGGTGTTAAGAAATTGCTAAGAAATCAGTCGCAAATTTATACTGGACAATGATAGACTGGCGTACACGTACGAATCGTTACGAAGTATATGCACTGGCACCTTGGCTGTATTTGCAGTATTACACGTTCTTCGCGCGTTCGGTATCTGAAGCGACGCACTGCTGCGAGGTCAGACTGACTAGATCATTCATATCACCGAGCGTTCACAGGCCCCGTACAAGTCAGAATATCCCTACGGCAGACTCTAAACATCTTCAAATGAAGGCTTATTTAAGTACATGTTTCAACGCAACTGTACTAGCTATCTGAGATCCGAAGCGATTCCCACGGCCATTGAATGAACCGGCTTACGAGAGCCTGCGTGGTCATTTTCACCTGGTTGCTCTGACTCTGCCCCTGCCCCGCTCCTTGCCCACGTAGTCCGGTTCATGCGATGGCAACACTAAGCGGATTCATCTGTTTGCCCTCTATGCTTAGGGTAACAGGCAGCACCAAGGGCAAGTAAGTGTAAAGACGAGCGACTGAGCCAAATACAAACAAACTAACGCAAACTAACCGCCCAACTTCACGTCCATGGCTAAGAATAACGTAACATAGATAATAACAATAATAATAACAACAACAGTAATAGGCAATGAACAACTAGCGGCGTGTAGAAAGCAAAGGATAGGCATGGCTTGATCGAGGGATGGCTGAGATGAACAGCGATAAAAGCAGATGCAACTTGTAAGCTATTGACTAGCCACATCGTCTACGATTACGGAGTCCGCTGTTCGACGTGACTCTTTCTCTTCCGCCATAGACAAACTATATATATCTACTTGCTCCAGAGTGTGCTGTCGTTGCTTATTGGCACATAGCAATTCTGTAGACAGGTCCGAGCACACCCTAAGCTAGATCGGGAGAATAAAACTGGGCAAGGGAGTACACTAGGTGCCATTATCCGTTGCAACTGTTGTCCGTCTTTAAGAGAAACTGCTCCACGCACACCGAAAGGCAGAGGACTCTGGCTGCCTAGCGTTGCTTCGGCTACATGGTCGCGAACGGGAATGTTGGTTTGCGGCTTCCACACAAGATCCTTCTGGAGATCTGATCCATCCGACTGAAGGTGCTAGTCTGCTGCTCATCCCCCCGCTGCTCGGCTGGTAATTGATTGTAGCGACTTCAATCTCTGATTGACCGAGGGCCGGTACAAAAAGGAGTTTCGAGCTGCACTATGAGACCGAGCGTGTATTGGTGTAGATGTACGACGGCTGCCAGGCGATGCTTTGATGTCGGAACAACAGCACTGAAAAAGTGCACAACAGCGAAGCAGATTTGCCTCAGCAGATTGTGATGCGTATTGACACATAGGTACGGGTCTGGCTGATCATCAAAGTTTTTTTGAACGCGTTTTTTTAAAGCCACAGAATACAACAGGCAAGCCCTGCTAAGACGACGCATATGTAAGAAAACAAAGAGCCAATGATTATCATCTATCGAAAGTTTTATATACGCATTACGTCTTTACGCTTACATTTTACATGACGTTAGCCTATTCTCGTTTTAGAGATTCGCTTTTAGTGTCTTCTATGGGCGGTAGCTTCAACGATTACCACAAATGAATGAAGGCGGCCTAATATTATAAAGTTCTAGTAAAATGTAATGTTTATGATTTTACATTTGAGTAGCAGTAAAAGGCCTACAGTTGCTAGTGGCTGCCGTTTGCAACTAAATTTCAATACACTTGTGCCTCATTTTGGACAAGCGTGCGTACTACGCACTTTCACAATTATGAGGACTTACTAAATGCCGTACATAATAGTGGATAACCTGTTGATTTATCCTATTTGATTTGATATGTCACCTTTTGAGAAACACTTATCACCCAACTACCGCGTGTAACTTTTCAAACATCTAACCAAGACCGAATTCACTGTTCAAGCGCGTTATTATATAGTTTATTTTTCACGCTATTTATAGCACTGAGAGAATTTTCTTCGAAGAAATATGTTGTACCGGTCGAATTTCAATAGTTTCAATAGATCGAAAAAATAAAGTTCTAATTTCTCTAATTCCTATTAGAGTATTTGTGTTTTTCTGCGTAACGAGTAGGCCATTATCCTGCACAACAACAGAAGTACCTCGTTTCTCGAGATTTTTTTTCTCGATTTCGACGCCGGCTACAAAGCTTTGTGAACAAGAATTCGTTTTTTTGTGGCTAGCTGTGGATGGGGATGTTATTGAGGCTTTCCCTGGCCGTATGAAGGGATAGGACACTGGTCGTAGGGGAAAGACATTGTCTCCTGGCAAAACTACTCTGACGACAATTTGATGTCGCGCCCAGCTGTCGTTTCGAAGTCAGCATCAGAGGAACGGAGTTGGACTCGGTTGATTGTTTCAAGGGGTCGGGGACGAACCTGTTTCTGTGAGGTGCCTCTAACCGCCCCCGTATGAAGGAGACGGCGACGGTCGAATGTTAACGTTTGGCTCGTAAAGCATCTTCCGTGACTCCATTTCTCGTGCAGAGGTAAGTGATCGTTTGATACCACGAATTCGCTCGCATCGGGGTAAATCAAAGATCGTTTAAGACGGACATCATGTTAGGTACACCGTCTTTGTAAGGTAATATTTGTAACAGCAAAAGAAAGAATAAACATTTTAAGACTGAAAATAATTGTGTATGTATGCATGGTCAGGCAGGTTGTCAGAAGTTAAATGATTTATAAGGTATGTAGCCTTGGCTGCGGTTTCGCTTCCCTGATTTGTTTGTCTGAAATGAATTGCACGATCCTAGGATACGTTTTCGGTTAAAGGCTTGTTTGCAAGCATCGCTCCCCTTACAAGTGCATCACGCTGCAGGTCTTCAGGCCAGTAAAACTGACAGGAGGGCCTACTTTTGTGGTTTTAACATAGCTTTATTTAACGGGCTGTGGAGTTATGCAATATTGGAAAAGCTACCATATTCAGGCCTCAATTGTCTTAATGAATTGCGTAATCAGCGGGTTTTTTTTTATTTTCGGATATTTTCGGAAACATCTAGATGTTGATAGTATAATGGAAGTGAACTGAAATGACTTTATACTTAAATATGTACAATGTGTGTCAACAGAGCAAGATTTGCAGGTAATTTTTTCTATGAAACTGCAACTATCTGATAATATTGATAGTACAACTATCAGATACCTTTTTCAGACAAACATTTATGTCAGTTTCCATGACTAAATACGGATATATATATATATACATATATATATATGTGTATATATATATATATACATACATATATATATATATATGAATCCAAAGCTTGATCTTCTTTAACTTACATCTATTCTTACACCCTTTAGCCCATACTATTGTTCAGCTGTAGACAAGGACATACGCTAACTTCAGATTTAGTGTTATCGTTTGTTACCAGTAACATTTGTTAGCAGTTATTTTACTATTTAAGTTAAAAAAGAAACATAGAATGACTGAAGATTAGGCTATTGCTCAAATAATGACTTAACTAGCTATTTGTCTACAAATCGACTAGTTAAATAACTGGATAGATAGTTGTTTTAGAAAAAAAAAACTGTGTAGAATAAACGAGTCCCATTGTCACAGGCAGTTTGTCAATGGCTCGCGATTTGGTAACCATACGAAAAGAGAGGGCCCCGTCTACTGTTTCACTCCAATTATCAAAATAATGATGTTACTTTATCGTCGACAATCATACCTTTCCATTATCGGATAAGATCTAACGCTGGATTGTAACAGTGATAAACGACGTTTTTGAGTATAATATCATTTATCTTTGAACTCGAAGCAGTTATCAAGTAATGTATTGCTAACACGATTCACAGTAACCCGAATTGTATCCTTGAATTCGATTGGTCCATCACTCAATAGTTTCTCATCTCAAACTATTGAAACTTAACGATCAAAAAGTATCGTAATCGAAACTTCTGATGTATAATAATATGTTCGTCTGGTATTGCGTTACTAGGAACTAGTCCATTCTCAGAATGTGGATAAACTCCAGTTAAATATTCCATATGTGTACAGCTACGATCGTATCTTATTGACAATGCTGCATCTTAGGTAGCCATAACTAGCTATCAATAGTTCTGGGGGTTAGAGTTTCAACCCTGAATGATGGCGGACCGAATGATGCTGCTGTTTTGTTCGGGAACCAATGCTGGCTCTCCCAGGATTGTATCCGATTTACTCGCCAGCTTAAATTGATACAATTCGGCCTTTGCTTGGTCTCACGTGTCAACTGCACCCAGTAGATTCTTAGCAGTAGATTTATAGCGATTGGACTTGACCTAGATCGCTCCCATTAATGCCGAATGCATACAATATCCAGCGAACATCGAGCAATGATTCCTGCGACACGAGGCCTTCCCATTGTAGCAGACTTCTAAAAAAATTCATGGCCAGACGATCGCAGCCAGTCTCAGACAAGAGTAATTTATGATTCAATTATTAGCACGTTTAAGTATACGAAAATAAAGTTCGGCGTGGGTAGGTATAACGCGAACCTCACACTAACTCTCATTATTTGAGTTATCATATATGCACGGTGATATAGTGTGATTTTAATGTAACGTAAGCTGCTAAACAGCTGAGCATCTTACGCTTTACGAATCACTAATTTGGGCACATGTGTGCATGTTATTGAAGTTTAGAGAACTGGGATGACAACAATAGCTATTGCTATTGTCTTTGTTGCTGTCGTTAGTTAGATAGCGAATCTAATAACCCGATCTCGTCTCTCCCCCACGCGTATGTTACCGTGTATGAGTCAGTCTCTAAGAAAGTCTGCCGGTAGGTGACTCCAGCTCAAGGAGCGACTCCAACTCCAGTGAGCATCGGCAAGCTCCTCCTCTCCGCTGGCAGCGTTCTCCTTTCTCCTGGCTCCGCCCCGAAGGACCGCGCTGTGAAGCTACCACGTCCCCAGTTGGTCCCGTACACTTGTTGGAAACGGAAAAGCAGGCCAAGACAGTCTGCTTCCAGCTTTCCAGCAACTTCATCCTTTTTTAATTATTGTACCTGCTGGAGGATACAAATGTACGAAGCTGAACTTACATTCTAGTGGAAGCACATTATCGAGAAGAGTTTGATTCGTATAGTTACGGCCTGTCGAAAAGATTTTCGGCAAGCACTCGGCGACAAATCGAAAACGGAGCACTTAAGCAGATGCTCGTACAAAGAGAACCTATTAAGAAATTGCTGAGTACCTGTGAAGGCGCTTACGTGAATCGTGTCGAGTCAAGATCGTCATACATAGAACAGTTTTGAGTCGAATTTATCAAATATTGGATCCAGCATTTTCACAGAAAAAAAGCAATTTTGTTTTGGTGGACAGTTTTTTGCGTACTGTTTTGCCTCCCCCCCCCCCCCCAAGGATTGCAGTGAAGTTATCCTTTTGAACTTAGTTCTATGAAGAAATGCCTGAAAACTTAATTGTGACGAATATTATCAAACCACCAAATAACGCGTGGTTAGCGTACTGCATACAACAGCGGGCTGTAAAGAAAACGGAGATGCTTTGCCCAGAGTGGCAAGTGTAGGTAGGTGGTGTCCATGTATACAGCTAAAGTGCCAAGAGGCTGTCCTACAGCCTACGTAGACGTGACTGGGGCAACAAGGGGGCGTCGGAGATGGCATCACACAGTTCTGGCAGCACCTGGGCAGTTCATTATGAGGACTCCACACGTTACGGAGTAGGAAACTACTGTCTGCGTAGTCTGATCGTAGTAAGTTTTCTCCTCATTGTCACGGCTACACCTCAAGATTCGCCTCAGAATGAAAAAACATCTCATTGGTGAGTTAGAGTAACGAGAGCGGTGTTGATAGCCTTAGTAGGAATGCGGACCCTATGCGTATCTTGCCGTGAATACAAAGCCTTCTTTTGTCTAGAGTTTACTGCTGTTGTTTACATATGTCAACGTCTATGTTGCAAAAAGATTTTCTTGCATATTGGGTGTAACGAAATTCTGACGTACTAAATAAGATGAATAGAAGGTAGCCTAAAATTTCATTAAAGCATTTTGGTTGGACTCGTGGTTTGTCTCTTCTGACCTTATTATTGTTTTAATACAGTTTAAATGAAAATAAGGGGTGATAATTCGTAGATTTAGAATGTGATATCAGTAAAAAAGCGATAAGAATCAGGTCTAAGAAATTTGACGGGCTCGCTAAACAACAGAGCCCTGTGCACTTCGTCCACTAAACCGAAACGTATAGACAATCGCCTGCTAGCGCGCTACAGAAAATATGGCTTTTCTGAAACATATTCATTGTTACAACACTGCACCTTTGCCTTGAGAAAAAGATAATAAACAGTCTGCCGCATCTTTGAATAACGAATCTACCGTACGCCTGATTTCTTTCCGACCTCCTGTAGAGATCAAGAGAACTTTTCATGGTAGATGTGAGCAATATCTGAACTCGTGATATCGGTCGTCGACAAGACTATGGCATTACTATCCGTTGCCAAAGGAAAACGACCACTAACGTTGCTAGAGTCTACTATTCAATAGCTCTTCTCTTCTCTTTCTAAAAACAGTGTATTTCCACTTCTACTTAATTCGAGAACACAGAGGAGATATCGACAATCATTATGAGAAGACAGTTATTTCCACGAAGATATTCGTTTGCCGCATCGAAAACCTGATACTAAAATTAGCTGTAAACTGTTGTGTGAGTTCATCTGCAGCAGCTGACGTGATAAAGTGAAGATTGTCTTCAAAGAACCTTTCAAAGAAACATAATATCTGAGAGCTAGGGCTTCAGTAAATAATATCGATAAGTATAATTAAAAGTAAAGAAGCCGCTGACAAGCTAGGGCCGAACAAACGTTATTACGAAATAGCACCATCACTCACGAGTAGGGACCAACGGGGTCCTCGAATAGAATTCGGTCGCCTAAAATTTGCGCTGTTCAATCTGACGATAAACAACTTTGCTATGTCGGTTCGTTCTATCCAATGTCAACAGAATGACCAAACACAAGTATTTTATCTGCACTATCCAATGCGTCCAGATTTCTTTTTTATGGAACCTCCTTAAAAATTGGTGAGAATTTTTGTATCGATTGAGCCTTAGGCCAGTATCATCTCCACTAAATGATCTGCTTACTGAACGCAACAGGCGCTTTATCGCCTCATGACGCCTACATTAAGTAGGTAACTAACTGCATAACTAATTCTGCTATCAGACCAATTAACTTATTTTCCGCATACACCGCTTCTAAAGCCCTATCTGGCTGATACTGCCATGATGGGGTTATATGACAGGACTCAAAGGTCGATCATGCTACCTTTAGAAAGGCACCCGTTCGAGATGCAACTTGGAGGCTAAAAATGTATTCCGAAACTCGAAAAATGCCAAAGTAAGCCTTTAGTCGATAGTGTAGTTGCCTTCCACATGTTGGCACTAAGGAAGGCGCTGCATTTACATTACCATTACAGATATGTAGCATCAAATAGGCAATAATAAGAAAGTAACCAGTGCTCTAAGTCGATTCCTTTTGCTAACACAGATGGCAACAGTTTCGTCAATGTTGATAACGGCAACATCGATATCCAACGCGAAACGTGACCTTGAAATATAACAAATACCACGGACAGATAGGTTGATCAAAGCTACTTCAATATCTATTTACCGGGGAAGATCTTTGTTTTATTCGAAATTTTTCTGGTTTCAAATATAACTGTAATCTGCGTTCTTAATAGCTCTGTGTTGCGGTACTAATAACGTAAAGGCGATAACATACAGCAAGCAAGTGTATCTATGTTAAGTCTCCTGTTAAAAAGGCGAGCCTCGAACGCTCATCTTCATACTCTGTTGTCATACAGTTTTCACATTTACGAATACAAAGATTATTTAGCCTGCAGGAACCTTCCAGTTCGGCGAAGCACAAGGAAACTGCACACAGAGTGCCTTGCAATTATATTTCCATAGTCCTGCACACCTCATTCCTCTCCAAACTTGTTTTTGCCTTCGATAAGTCTATATATATGTATATATATATATATACCAACGTTATCTTATATTGTTTAACATATGGGTAACTTCGGAAAGTTCCATGCAGTTTAAAGTAGTACTAGGGAGCAAATGTGTTAGTCTATTGCATTCGGAAATACATAGACTTTTTATAGACATAGGAAATACAGATATACGCGAAGTCTGTCGCATTGGAGAAAAACAGCTGAATGGCGTTCGATTATATTTTAATATAAAATGGTACAGTAACTGTATGGAGTCGAGGCACGTGCGGATTGAGCTGCTACGCTCAGTGCTTTCTGTGTTCCGTATCTCCTCTATATATGTAGATACGGTTCTTTGGTCGATAGGGTTAGTGTCATTTCTCGATACGTACATCTATCGACGAATTTCATCGAAAGAACACTTCGTGTGCTATCGAAGTTACCGGTGAATCCGCTTATCCTTGCTTTGAGTCTTTGAGGTTCAAGAGCCTTTTTTAGATGCGCACATTCACCTTGTTGTTTGAATTTAGCATTGTAATTCTCTGAGAATTATCACTTACGTGACAATATGGCCGGCGCACTCTCCCGTGACTGCGGCACAGTTATTGTTATGCGCATTTTTTAGCTTTTTCTCTTAAAATGTGGGCATAAAATGTTAAATCCTAAACGTTTCCAGTGATTTTTTTTCTTTTAATCCGATGAGGGTTAGCTCAGCTGTACAAGCGGAGCGCCTGCTCGACCGCGTCCAGCACGAATACAATCGGTGATATGTATTTGTGTATGGGAGGGTACTATGAGAGAGTAGTCTTTTACAAAGGCTGAAAGCTCTCAGCACCAATCGATACCCCAAATTAGGCGACACTGCCTGTGGCATCATGGATAACAATGTCGCATATTTTACAAGTAACGACCTATATGGTCCAGGCTGGTAATTGGAACCTAAGCTAAATCTATTGCATCTCAGCCGGGAATTAAATCCTAGACCTCATTGATGTGTATCCGGCAGTTCGCTGACCTTGCCACCGCGGTAAAAAGCTTTCATAAAATTTGTTTTGAGCAGGTCGCTAAAACTCGAAGAGATAAAGACAAACAATAGCTCAAAGAGCTTTAAGGGACCATTTTCTCAGGTTTTGTCAAAAATTCTTGTGATCAATGCCGCTTAGAATTTTCGGAAACACGAGTTCGTAATGGCGGCTTCATGTTCCTAACTAGTCTGTGAGGTTCTTATTAATCATGAGCCATTTGTGTTATCTATTTCATGTTTCTAAATAAGTTAATCCATACCTACGATTCTTTAGATATAAAAGAGTTTCAGTGTAGCGGTTAAAAAATAAAATTATTATTGCTTCTCTTTATAGGTTCGGTCGTCTTCTACTTGCGTGCACGTAATCTTAAAGTGCATATTTAGTATTTTTCATTCCTGGAAGATCGGACTCGAAAATCTATGCAATGTTAACAGAAGGGAAGGCTTCAAGTGGACATTGTGTGCTCAGTCATTCTTGTAGTCGGGACTGAACGCAAGTACTCATGACCTGTATGAAGATTTTTTTGTTTAAGTAAATGGCTCTCGAAGACACTAGTTATAACAACATATACAATTCTACTTCTTAAACGTTATTCCTATTTTTTCCATTAAGCCCTTGTTAAATATTTAGTTTTATTTATACCCTTAGGCTATTACATTCTGCTTAGGGTGTTATTCGCGTTTGCTGGTATCGGTATATATCATTGCACCACTTATCCCATTATCCCAAGCAAGAGTTTTGTGTAGATACTAGTTAAAACTAGGCTGGTCTAGTCTCATATTGCTGCTAAATGCGAGCGATTCACAGATTTTCATAGATACATTCCTTAGTAGGTTTAAAAGTACCCCCAGGGACCAATTGCAAAGATCTAAGCTTGAGAGGCTGCTGATCTTAGCAGTAACTATAATAGAGACAAATGTTTGCCCAAAAATTTACTAGGAAGATTAACCAACTCTGAAAACAAATTGATGAAAACAAGAACGCTCGTATCACAGCGGCAGCTAGTAGCATCGGCGTGCTCACTTTTTTTCTTATTCACGGGATTATCTTGCTAGCCTCAGCCAGGCTGTTATTTGCAATAGTGATGCAATAGAGCCTTTTTTGTGGTGTTTGTAGTACCGAAGCTTTGTTGCAGCTGGTGCTTTTACTCATCTAATCTCACCTTACCACTCTAAGTGAATAACGAGCAGTAGACAGTAAAATTATTATTTTAAATGTACCTATGGGCGTATACAAGTAAATACTATTTGAACATATACATTAACTACTTTTGGCTCAGGGTATACACTGCAGTTACGAGTGTCTCATGTTGTCTAGAGAGCCAGGTTCGTACCCAAGCATAGACAAACTTCGTCTCGTGCTGGAATTAGCTGTTTGTCTGATAGAACTATGCCTGCCGACGACACTGGGCGTAAAACTCGAAATATAAAGGATATTGTCTAGAGAGCACTCGTTATCAGGGTCAAAAAATGTTTATATTCGAAACCTCTGAACCGACCCAAGATAGAACACGCTTATAAAAACGTGCTTTTATTCCAAGCACACGAGTTCATATCGCTTGAAACAAACCTTCTTAGCAAACGGGACAACAATATTTGGTCGAAGCAGTAAAGTGTGACAACAAATCGCCATAATCGGAATTACCTAACTGTAAGCACCTTATGTCGTTTTGGTAAGACTAAAAGTCATCTGTGCAGGCATGTGTGTGTGTGTATCTGAGAGAGAGAGAGAGAGAGAGAGAGAGAGAGAGAGAGAGAGAGGGGAAGCGAGAGCGAAAGTTTGCGCCAAATACGTCGTGAAGTAACAAAACTATTAGAGAGTTCAACTTATCTCAAGTTTAGACGAAATACAGCAAGAAGCACATATGCATAACGATGTTTTTTGCAAGACTTGTTACCTAAGATTAACCGCCAGTGTTCTCTGATACCGACCAGATAAGGTAGACAATTGAGAAAACACGCCTCGAACATTTATCGTTCGATATCATTGGCCCACTAGCCTAATGAAGCAATTTACGGGACGATGTTTTTGGCGTGGTGCCATATTCAAGGTCAAGGATCAAACGCCTTTTTCACAGAAGCGACTGACGGGTGACCCAGACATCCCTTTTGGGTAGGTTGTAGCCTCGAGAGGCTTCTAGCTGCGTCGTATGCTTGTTACTTCTTCCAGTCATGATCACGAGGGAAGAAGATCAGGGGCGAGTGACGATTGATTGTGAACGAGTCTTTTCTTTAGAGAAAGGCGCACAATCGAAAGTGCTTATATCTTATTTCTTTTCGAACTAATGCCTATGCTGGCTAATCTGCTAGTTGTTGTTTTTACGTTGTTATAAGCACACATCCTTCACGGACACTAGATAATAGGATATTAAGGAAGGAAGCATTTTCTATCAGCCTTAAAAACAGGCTCTCTTTGTAGCTATCCATCCGCCGGGTGGGCACATCATTGTATGGCAAAAACTGAAAAAGGGCACCTAATTCGCTGTTCAACGATTGTCTTCAATATACGTCCTGCCTCATACTGTCCCTAAGCCCGTTTGACAAAAGAAATTATTACAGCATATATTGACGTCCATTTTCTGTATCCAAATGGCCTCTTTGTATTTTAAATGTTGTCCATCGACCTTATTTGATATATATATGTGTGTGTGTACAATATGTTGTATTATTATGTATCACACCATTATGAAACTTCGATAGTCATTTTATTCGATACGTGGATATACCTGAATAAGCTGCCGCGTATTTAGCCCCAGGCTAGCTGTTTACCACAGCTATAAGAAATATGCCATTCGCTTCCTGTTATACAGTGGGTCTTCGAAAGTCGAAAAATTGCTTCTTTCACCTCAGCGTTGCTATTTGTGTCACATCCTCTTTGTACTTCAACGTAATCCGGTCGTTGGATATCTCCATGTGTCAGAGCCGCTAGTTGACACGTGGTCGGTCAAATAACCCCTACTACTGTATCCTTTTTCGGTTCGAAGTTTTCACATAGCTCAATGCAAACGACTCTCATGCAAAAACGAGGCGTCTCTGCATGAATCAGTAGATATATACACAAGCGGAATAGATGCTTCGTTCAATGAAGGTCTGTTGCATAATCTTTTTGTTTTTCTCGCATCTTTTGCCGATCACTATTATTACTCTTGTGTGTCCTTCAACTCGTTCGAAACCTTTTGAGGAGGATCAGACATGGAGCTGTCGGGACTGAATAGCCTTAATTATCATCATCATTATTTGAACAGGGTGCTGGCCTGTTGAATATACGTAGACTACGAGCATGATATTCTCTGTAATAATATCCAGTTTGTTCCATTCGCCAGAAGACAGTGTGATGCAGTAGTGCTTTACCGCACAGGGCGCGGAGTAAACAAGTACTCTACTATAACATGCTCTTAATTATCTCAGAAAGGTTTTACCGCGAAATTTTTTTTGTAGAGCTAGTAATGTAACGAGCGTAAAGGTACGTGCATAATGCAGCTGGTTGACGCCTTATCTGTTTTCACAAAAAGCGCGGGAAAATTTAAATGTTGAATTGAGAAAACAACCGAAAGTCTCTGCTGCTATTAGTATGAACACTAAATATTGTAACTAATTGTTACGATAGCTGTGTTACTCTGTCATCAGCTCTACTTAGTTACTCGTAATGTGATGCTTACACTAGTTGAACCATTTGGCACTGAACTCAGTGCAAGCATTTGACTTACGCACCGCAAGACCATCAAAGCAGATGCAAGGGGTATCGCGTTACCATCCAAGTATAACATGTAGCAAACTAATTAATTAAGCGCGAGTATTTACCACTGCAGAACGTATACGAACGAACCCCGACAGGTGACCATTGTATTTAATAGGTGATGTCTTCGGGAACCGTATAATGCCTACACCAACTATAGACACATACGTCACGCACCGGTACACGCTAAATATTTCTGTGCGTGTTGCGCCTGACGTCTGGCATTTATTTTGCTGTTCTAATTTATTTCTTCATGGAAAAACAACGCGGCCGCATGATGTCGCAGGAACGTACCGACTATCTATCTGCGATAGCTAGAATATTTCTTGTAGAACGAGGCAATAAGCAAATCTCTATGCATTAGCGTGAAAACTGCTAAGATTAAATACGCAATAATAATCAGATTTATTATTTAACGGACCCCACTGCTTTGCACACATGACAATATACAGTTAATTTAGTCTCAAAAATCTGAGATAACAAAAGCAATCGACTATTAAAAACTAGGTTAATAATAATAATACGACGAATTTACAGAATGTGAAGATTATAGCTAACGAAAATAATTTTCTACTTTTCTAGGTCTGTCGACGTTCCTGCTTTTTACCATCGGTTATATTTTAGCGGTGGCGAAAGCGAGGTTCGGGCACATTTGCATGAAGTGACAGTGCTTGAAAATGCTCTGCAGTTTCGAGGCACGGTGTCGCGACGTTTATCCGATGGTAATCAACTTCTCAGCCTATTCTATCTCGACGGCAAGCTAGAATCATGCAGGGTGGAATCTGATCCAGTGGAAGTAGCCGAGTTCTATCGGGCCATAATGGACGATTTCAACTGTGCCGAACATAAAACGGCTCGCCAGGTGTTCGATGGGCTTGAGAAAGTAGACCAGGCAACACAGATAATGACGTCTTCATCAGTGTTCGAGGACGATGATCTCTTAAACTTAGATAAAAGATATTTAAACAACCACGAGAGGAAAAGCCAAAGTTCAAATCTGAAGTATACAGTAAAGGATATTCCAGACACACCGAAAAACGTAGAGAGGAGGACAGAGATACTATTTAGTGTAGAAAACTCCAATGCAGAAGATTCATCCCGCGGTATCGAGGATTCGCCGTTGTACGGCTCGGAGGAACCGCTGTGGTGTTCGATTGAAGACCGTCTAGAGCGCCAAATTTGGAATGAGACGTTTATGCTTCTAGATCAGGCGGCACAAAAAAAGCAACTCATGAAAGAAGTCAACGAAGTGCTCCACTTCAAGGTAAATGAATGTTAGACAAATTTCATGAAGGAAACAAAATTCGTGCTGAATGTTCTGTCTTAGCTTTCTTATGTTTATAACAGACTTTATTCCATATGATTATTTATATAAAGGTACTCTTTTATCTACAGAATATATGAGATTATTGAATTTTTTTCTTGCAGAGTTCTTTCTCTAAGTAGCTTACCTTGCAACTTACATTAAAATGACGTATCTCATGCAACCGTGTACACAAGCTAGTAATGCGTTTTAGCACTTTTCCCTATGAAATTGTAAGTAATTACAATCTGGTATACGCCAACAACAGACCATCACATTTATCGATTAAACTTATCATATTCCAGTCGCATAGAAAAGCTTGTTGGAGCCTGCAGCGCCGAATAAGAAGAACTGCAGCCGCCCAAAACAAACCTCAACAACTCAGTGAACTTCATGGAATGAAAGGATTGCAATCTGACGATGACGAGGTCATTAACGCGGAAGAAAGTCTGCTGGATGTCCAGCAAGGAAACAACGGAAACGTGCTTCACAAACGTCGAAAACGCGTGCGTCGGTAAGGACTTCTATTTCCCTCTTGTCAAAATGTGTTCAACACGACAGATAATAAACGTCTAGTACAACTTGATCCGCGGCCCTTAAAGCCTTATTTGTAAGGTATGTATCATGTATGCATCATACGTTAACCGAACATCTGAGGTCATTACATCTGGACACCCCAAGGCGTCCAGTGGTCCATGTTTGAAGAATCTAAGCCGTACTGCTTTTGTATCGGAGCTTCGATATAAAAAGAAAGCATATCTGAATATGAGAAAACCGTAAGACGTTTTATCTAATGTTTTTGCAATGAAAACTTGTGTTTAAAAATCTGGTGTCCAATCGTTGTGTTTTTCCGAAAAAAATCCTATTCATTGTGGGAACAATTTGGTTTTTCGAAAATTCTGATTATGTCAACAATACTTTGTTCTTTTATCAACAAAATTCAGCTTGCTTTATGAGAGCAGGGGAATAGATCGGAAGCATTTTGCATACGCTTAATTAGTGAGGTATCGCATTTAGCTTTTATTTGTGTCTTCTCCCAATCGAAACCTTCTGAGCAAAATCGAACACAGTATACTACTATGTATAATGAATTAACCCAAAATGTAATGCGAACATATGGGTTGCTTTCGCTTTGTAGTTCGCTATTTTCGTCGATAATGCCAGGTACTAAATGGTGCGGTTCCGGTAATCGTGCAGCTGCTCCGAACGAATTGGGCGCAAGTGCCCGCACCGATCATTGTTGTCGCCAACACGACCAATGCCCTTACACGCTCGTGGCATTCGAGAGGCGCTGGGGTCTTCGAAACAAAAGTCTCTTTACCATGTCACACTGCAAATGCGATGAAAGGTAGGTATTGACCACTATATATTTCGTTGTCCACCTCCACGTACGCTACTTGAATGTTTTCGAATTAACGTTCTATTACACATACTTTGCCGCATCTGACTACCATACGTGATTGATCGTAGACGAATAATAGATTTCTAGTGAACACAAACGTCGAAGACCTAGACATTTTACAAGTGTGTTTTTCGTTTAACGAAAATATTCCTTCTATGAATGTTGAATATTTGACTTTAAAGGCCTTTCAGCTATATATTGTCGATGAAATAGTGTATTTGTTTTTGCTCAACATTTATTACTTCATGTCGAAATGAAACACACTACATAGTACAGTATGTTTCTTGGAGTATTTTTATAGTTTGTTGCCAGCTCTAACAAAGTTTTTTTTCTAATAAAAGCAAGTCAAAGCACTGACCATTGTCAGATCTTTATACTTGTATAGACACATCTTCAGGAGCTAAATCGTTACTAGTATCTGTGTATGTACGGCGTGCACACGGCTGGATATATGTACACATTTTGCAATTTCCATTTGTAGGCGTTGTCTATCTCTACTTTAATGTCTGTCGGCTTGATATTAAGCTCTGATTTCTATGGGAGAACTTGACAAGCATTAGTAGCTTGTATCAGTGACAAAGGATACTAATTTTACAAGCAAATCGTATGGGTCAAAATATTCCAACTGGTCAGCTGTTTGCGTTCAGAAACCAAGATAACAAACAAGCACAAAACCTATTACAGACCCTTAGCAGTAATTGCCATTAATGTTGTCATTTCAATGGCAAGGCGATGCATCGCCCGTAGTGCATGCAGTCAACTCTTGTTGAAATCGACCAGAGTCGTCGCTGTAAAGGAGGTCCAGTCAATAATGTCGGTTTACACAGTTATGTTACGGGCGTAAAGTCACACACATGTATAGAAAGATGGCAGACAAGATACACGGATGAATAAAACTTGTTTAATATTCGTTCCTTTAAGTTGCGGTGCGTGACCCGTTCATAGCGCTAAAGCTGTTGTGCCTAAGTAATCGTCTCTGATGCTCATGAAATCGCGTAAACACTGCTTGCTTCTCAAGTAGCTTATACAATGAATGAATCCTAGCTTATATAGGGTGCATGAAAAACGTCTCTGTACACCAACTGATAGTGTCTAAACGGTACCTAACCGCAGTTACACTGTAGCCAATAAGCAAAACGCGAGAAATAACTCACGGTATTAAAGAACAATGCACGAGCACTGAATCACGAAAAACAATCCCTAACACGATACGCAATTTTTTTCTGCTTGATTATTTAAAAGGTTACTGAGTGCCCGTATCTAGATGTATACGCATAAGTATTGCCTTTGTAGAGTGCTTCAAGCTTCGTGTTCTTTTCGGTGATCTTTTCTGCACCACGACCTTCTTATGTTCTGTGCCTCGTTGTACCAGTATAATCCGACAGCGTTGCTTATTTGTGTCGGAGTAGCTGAGTGAAATAGCCACAAAGTGGTAATATCAGCCGCAAAAATTGGGGGTGAAGTTAAGCGGCATGTCGGGAAGGAGAACGAAAGTGTCACTGGAGGCCAAAAGCGTTGTGCATTGACATCGGTTCCCTATTCAAAGCCAAGACTGAGTGCTCTGCAGTCACGTGTCATGGCCAGTCACACACTTTGACTTTCTTATATATAACCTATATGTAATAGATTATAACCATGTGGAGTGTCTGAGAAGCTGCTGTCTCAGCAATGACCGATGCTCACTTTTCGAGGGTGAAGTAGACTTATGATAGGGGGCGACAATAGAGGATTGTCACAGAGCTCGTAAAGTGGAACAGACATTGGGTTATTATGAATCCGATTCCGGTAATCCAACTTGGAGAGAGTTCCCCGAGGCCTCAGGCATTGCAGGAACTGTATGCAATAACAAATACAAGACAATTTCTCGCACTCTAGATGATCAAGGAGATAACTCTAGTATTATCCTCGCCTCACCAGCAAACGACATACATCTAGTCCAGTACACGATGGTAGCAGATAGTAGATTTCAACAATACACACTACAAATGGCGAAGATTGACTATTGACACAAAGATAACTGAAATGTGAAAAGATGGATTTTCATTCACGGAAGTCGCGGGGTGCGTCAAATACATTGTGATGTGTATCGTGGCTGAAAAGCCACAAAT